CCGCAAGCCCTGCGGGTGCTGCCCTCCCACGCGCCCGTGGAGGGATGCTCCAGGGGCACGTGTCCAAACCGCGTCTCCCCTGTGCTCTGTCAGAGAATTTCTCCGCGGCGCAGCTCGTTCAGAGGAGGATGAATAATGGTGAAGGCACAGGACGGGGCGGGGAGGGCAGGCGCTGAGAATAAAACCAATGGAAGCTCCGGGAGCGAGTCCCTCCAGCCTCGCCGCTGGCGCGGAGTCGCGCACGGCTCCCTCCCGCCGGGGCAATTCCAGCCCCGCCTGAACCGAGCGTCCCGGGTGTTCCATAGCCCCCGGAAACCGGGCAGCCCGGCCATGCCCGGCGGGGCCGGAGCCGTCGAGGGGTAAATTAACTTATTCCAGTTGGGTGGGGAGGCTTTGAGGAGATTTGACCTGAACTGTTTGCCCAGGTCGCGGAATGGGCTGACCCGCAATTTGTAAACCAACCCGACCCTTTATTCGGAGACAGACAAAAAGATCTTCATTACAATGAGTAAAAAGTGGAATGTGTATCTTCCATTTAACCTGTAAATACAGGAAAAGCTCCTATCCCAGATTAATGGGGAAAAGGTCACACGGCGGGATGGTGAGGAGTCAGCTAGGGAGGAGAGAAAAACACCACCATTTCCTCGGGACACCTTTAGGATGGTAAATCCAGAGGGAACTTCTCTTTCGGTCAGCGTACACAGAAATACGGACTCAACCAAACACATTCAGCAGCAGGAATGGCTGGTGCCTATTATGAAAACAAATGTCCAACACTCATTTTTATCAGCACTGGGTGCAGAATATGGTCAAAATGCTATATGACTTATATTCTGTGAGCTTTAAGCTCTTGTGATCCCACTTTGTGCCTGAAGCATTAAAGATAGGGCATTTCCCTGAAAATATAAATATATTCAGCATTTTGGTCCCTGTTAACCAAATTAAACAAAACTTTCCTTTGCTAAGTAGATTTTCTCTGTGGGATTAGCAGAGGGCCACCATGGTAAAAACTGGGGTCATTTGCATATAATTTTGCAAACTCGCACTGGTCCATGACAGTCTTTGTCTCTCCAATGTTGCTATCCTGCATTTTTTTCTTTCTTTTTTTTTTCCCTTTTCATTTTCATTTAGCTGTGGAGGATAAACCCCTCTTTGGCTTTACAATGACTTTAGGATAAAAGTTTCCCCTCCCTCCACTCTTTCAGGGCTCTGAGCTCACCCTCCTGCTTTTGGCCCCAAAATTATTTTGGAATTTGCTAAAGTCAGCTGTAGCAGGCATGGGAGCTGAGCTGCCTTCCCAGCTCAGACCCACACCTGCACACCATGCTCTGTGCACACAGGTGGGTCAGCATGGGCAGTGGGGTACAGAGCTCCCTTGGGACAGGCATCCCCTGTCTTTTGACAGAGGTTCAGCTCATTTGTCTTGATTTTATTTTGCATTTCTGTGCCTATCAGACAGAGACTTTTAGCCTTTTTCCCCCCTGGGATTTATTTTAGCTCTGCCATGAGCATCACCTTCCAACCTTGCTGGGAGCAGGTGGGAGCTGGATGACCCCTGTGCTGGGCCTGATCAAGGCTGTACCTGGTCTCAGGTAGGGCGCCTCTCTGGGCTGGCAATGCTCATTGTCTGGCATAGGAGTAACCTTTACTGCTGTCCAGGAGCAGCTAGCACAGGGAATGAATAGAGAGGAGCTGTTCCTGAAAATAAACTACTTTAATTCCCAAAGCCGTCAAAATACTAGATTCTGTGTTATGAACCTGCTTGGCTAAAAATCTTAA